ACATTGTTTGAAAATTGCACATAATTGTATATACATCCCTTTGAGAAACTTCTAAGTCATTACTTTAACATCTTTTAATTTTTTTTCCTCCCATATGTATATTGTTTAATAGTTTTGACAAACAAAATTCTGAGGGCACAGCATTTGTGAAAAGCTAGCATAAGCTTGCTGTTATGAAAGAGCAAGATAGTGATTGGAGGTAGAGGAACATGTCAGTGGGGACAGACTTTTTAATAGGGCTGTAGCGATAGGACAAGGGGTGATGGTTTTAAGCTAAAAGAGGCTATATTCAGACTAGATATAAAGAAGAGTTGTGGGGTTTTTTTATGATGAGGATGGTGAAACACTGAGTTGCCCAGGGAGGTGGGCATCCCTGGAAACATTCAAGGTCAAGTTGGACGGGGCTCTGAGCAACCTGAGTTGAAGATGTCCCTGCTTATTGCAGGGGGGTTGGACTAGATGGCCCTAAAGGTCCCTTCCAACCCAGTTTTTACTATATTAGAATACACAGTTGTGGTTGGGGTTTGGGGAGACCTGTCTTTTTTTTGGGGTTTGGGGGTTTTTTTTGGAAACTGAGAGAGGTGAGGAGGTTTAGAAGCCAATTGTTAGGACTCTACTTTCAAACACTGCATTAAAGTATGTAAATTGATGTATTCTTACAGTCTGCAGACTTATTTGTTAAAAACGCATAGGTACATGCATGGTTAAATGCTCTAACAAACCCTGACACACAGTTTAAGTAGTTCTTCTGTTACTGTACATAGTTAGCAGTGTTCATAGAAAAGTTAGCAATGCTTTGGCTGATTTTGCTCAAGTCCTTTTTCCATTTTGCTGTGTGTTGGAAGGAGTGGTGGTGGTGGTTTTTTCTTTTAAACTGACTATGGTATGACCTACGATGTTGTATTCTGTGTTAGCAGCTAGGCAGTGTATTGTTTCCTTCTTCAGGTTTAACAGTGTTTGAAACAGGACAGAGGAAAATTGAAAAAAGGAAGAAATTCAAGGAGAATGATGCATCTAATATTGATGGTTTTCTGGGACCATGGGCAAAGTATGTTGATGAAAAAGAAGTAGCTAAACCATCAGAAGTAAGTACTACTTTAACACAATAGATACAAAATGTTAGTACATTGCAGTGGTTTTAACAGAGATCCAGCTGCGCTACTAGTTTGTCCAAGCAGAAGATCCCTGCTGTATTTCAGAGTGATAGAAACATTTCAGGTGATACATCAGAATAATGTGTTCCAAATATTATGCGTACAATTATTTGCAAGGCTGTTTGGAAATAAAATTCATTGTGTCTGTGTAGTGTGTAGAGTCTGGTTAAAATACATTTATAAGCAGAAGCAGCTTGAAACAAACTGAAAATAAAACTTGTTTAAAAAAGAAAAAAAAAAACAGCCAAACAGGAAAACCCCAACAATAACACACACACCCCCAACTCTCCAACCAACAAACATCCTTCTTGTTCAGTCAGTGATGCTTAGCTGTAGTCTCTGAATAAAAAGATAATACTTAATTCTTTTCGTTGAATATAGCTTTTCAAACTGCTCTCGTTTTGATAAAGGTATTCTCTTTATTGATGCTTAGAAATATGTCTAATCTCATTTAGCAAATAAATGTGTTCTTAATAGTAAGTAAACGGTAGTACAGTTCTGGATTTTGTTTTGTGATTCTGAGCACTGAATTTTTAAAAGATCATGTTTTATTTTTCCAGGAAGAACAGAAAGAGTTGGATGAAATAACAGCTAAGAGGCAGAAGAGAGGAAAACTAGAAGATGATAAACCTGGAGAGGAGAAGACTGTATTACATGGTAATGGCATCTTCCTCCCTGTTCTCATTTTCTTGCTCACTATGTTTTCGTGCCTGCTGTGTTAATTAGTAAGGATGGCAGACAGCCTCAACAGTTTTGCTGAGGCACCTTGATGTTTCTGTATTGGAGATAATAGCGCTCACAGGCGTAAGCATAAAGGACAGGGAAGGCGTTAAACTTGGGCTAATTCCACTTCATACTGTGAAGAGCAGTGTGGAAATGTCATCCTTCAGGGTACTGCTTTTATTTATTTATTTTCAATGTTACTAGGCGCACGTATCCCTTTCCTATTTTACAGAGCAAACGTTTTAAAGTTATAAGTTTGGCTTAATTTCAGCTTCAGAATTACTGCAGTTTTATGTGTCAGTAATCTTCATCAGCACGTAGTGCTTTGAGTTACAGCTTACATAAAATTTAAAAAATGACTTGGACTTTATACTTCCTTAGTTCTTAATGTAAATGTTCTTGCTGTCATACTATGAATAATTGTGTATCAAATAATTACCCCATGGAAGCCTATGGCATGTGGTACCTTCAAAGAAAATGGTTCGATAAGTAAGTAAAATTAAGTGATTTTTGGAAACTGTTTCTTCAACTCTGCATGCAAAACAGTCCTGCCTTTTATTGCTTGGCACAGAGAGGTAAACCGAGCCTCTCTTTCTTTACCACTTTCTACAGCCAGGCTCTCACATACACAAGCTGGAGCCTGCTTTCTTACATGCCTTAAAGAAGTGGCTGAGAGATATGGTTGCTGACATTAGCACTTCATTCTGTTTATATGTAGTAGATCATGACAGTGTTTATTGAATAGTGATGAACATAACAAACCTGAAATTTAGCCACTGAAATTTAGCCTCCTATAGAATAATTATTTTGTATCCAACTTTTCATGGTCTCTACCTGAAGTTTCACAGTGAAAGACCTTACAAGATAAACTTAATCTTCTCAAACGCAAACATTCCAGAAATACACCATTTTCTAGACACATGTAAACATTGATACTGTGCAGGGGGTCACTTGTACAACCAAAACTGCTGTAACAATATCCCAGAAACTGAGAAATTAATTTCATCATTGCACAGCTTAATGTCATGGCTATCCAACACAAGTCTATTCTGAAATATCCATTTCTATGCACAATGCATCCCTGCATGTCTGACTGTCCAATCACTTAAATTTAGTCAAAGAGCAGCTGTTGGCTACTGCTGACCAATATTGGTTTACACTGGCCAAATGGGTCATTTTTTTCCCTCTGATTTGTAATTCTGTTGATGTGATTGACACAGCACAGAGCTGGCTGGAATGTGAATTGCAAGAAAATGCCAGGGTTAGAGTTGCACATTATAGTCCGTATAGAGTTAGTGCAAGCAAACCCTTGTTGGCCCGAAGGAACTCTCTTGCTGTTTGATGGGAAGATGTGTAGGAGGGAGATTGTCTTAATGTTCAGATTATCAGATTCCAAGCAGACTTTGCTGTAATGACTTAATTTGAGTTTAACTGATGTTAAATAAGATTCCACATCTGTATCCTGTGAAGTGGGTTTTTCTTCTCCACCACCCCCCTGCCTCCCCACTTCACAGCAGACCAGCTGTGTTGAGAAAAACCTTAATTGTATGTGGCTGTTCAGCCTTTCAAGTATTATAACCTCTTAAAATACAAGCTCTTGGATTCTCAGAATTCTGTGTTTACCTTTTCAGTTAAGGAAATGTATGACTATCAGGGGAGATCTTATCTTCATGTCCCTCAAGATGTTGGAGTTAATCTCCGTTCTACAGTGCCACCTGAGAAGTGCTATCTTCCAAAGAAACAGATCCACGTGTGGTCTGGACATACAAAGGTAGGAAGTTGTGTTTGTGAGTGTGCATCATAAAAACCCACTTCACTGTGGCTGAAGCTAGTAACTTCCATAAAACTGAAGTATCAGTAGAAGGAAGGAGTATTTTTGCCTTTACCACATTATGCGTGTAATTGGTTGCATTGCATGCTCACACAAGGTGTTTGCCTGCTCAAATGCTGTTGTTTACCTGCATATACTTTTTAATTAACATAGTGACTTCCTGACCTCCTTTAAATGAACAAATATTATTTAGTGACTTCTGTGAGATTTGGAGTTATTTCCTAAACTACCATGTGAATAAGAGTAAGGCTAATTCTAGAGATGCCTGAAAATGCTTGCTTTTTTTTTTTAAATGGTAAAAGTACTTAAGGGCTATTTCATACCAAACTTATGAAAAGTTACATAGATTTTGTGATTATGATGCATCAGCATTACAGGTTTTCCAAATACAGCTATTAACCTTTGAGAGGTGTGCCTTGTTAAGCGTTTTCTTTGATGATGCTACTTAACATCTACAGTTTCCTCTTGTGATGGAGCCCATAACTATATACATGCTTTTGGTATTAAAAAAGTGTTTCATTGATCAGGTTTGTAAAGCTTATACTCAATTTGCTGCTTCTTTTGTCTCTAATTTTCAGTATTGCTTGAGGGAATATGCTGTGCTGCAATGGACAGCACCTTAATGATATCTGAAGGATGGAAGAAAGGAGGACACAGGGAACACTTTTAGCTTTTACTCTTTTTTAGCTCTGAACTCTTCTTTAATGATTGCTGCATCAAAGAGCTTGTAGCTGCAACTATCAGTGCTTTCCAGAATAATAACTCCTCCTCAAAGCTCTAGTCACTCCTCTGCCTATTATACTCTTAGAACAGACTGATGCACAAAATAGCTTTTTCCTTCAAATGAGATGAGTAACAGTATCGATGAGAGAAGCAAAAGAAAGATGGGCTGACAAACCTAGAAAAGCTGGGGGATATAAGTAGACAATAATAAGGAGGATAAAGCACCCAGGGGTGGGAGGAGCTGGATGGAATATGAATACAGTAATTAACATGAAATGGAAGAAGGGACATCAAACCATGAGTACTTGGTGGTTCTTTGGGCTTTCTCTGGAAGGAGTACCTGAAGTACAGGTGGATGGGAAGGTGCTGTGCCCAGGGAATGAGTGCAGTGGGCAGAAGCCACTGGTGGTATATGTAAGAAATGAAGCTGGCCAGAAACTTTGTGGAAAAATTCCTTACCTGCCCCACCTGAGAAGGTTTGTTATACATAAACAGTCACCCAAACCCACAGTTTGTATTTCTTTGCTGTGTTCACCACAGTAATGATGTGAGTGTTGAAGGAGGGTATATATACAGCTGTTGAAGTGAATCAATTTGTTGCCAATAACAATTGTTAAAAACACATTGCTGTTTCTAAAATGGAATGTGGGTAGGTTATTTCTTTTCAAGATGCAGTATCTGTATATTTTATGAAGGTAAGCTTTAGCTTTTTGCTTAGAAAAGAGGGTATGTGAACTGAGGAAATACCTAGATGCTCCACTTACTGTTTAATTATATCCTTATTTACAGGGTGTCAGTGCAGTTAGATTGTTTCCCCTCTCTGGGCATATACTGTTGTCTTGCTCTATGGATTGCAAAATTAAGGTGAGTTATTTTTCTATTTTCACAAATATATTTTATGCCATCATTGAATACAGACAATGCATTTTACTTAAGCATTTGATAGTTCTACCAAATACCTTTTGTCTGTGTTATTTTTCTCACTTGATCTTTAAATTACAAATTTGTTGGTACAAAGATAGAAATAATTCACAAGACTGTGGGTTTTAGAACAGCGTTAATCATTTAGTAATAGCATTTAGGTCACAAGTTCCTCAGGTTATTGCCTTTGTTATTATAATAAATAATTTTCTGTGAAGCCTAGTTTTACAACTAGCAATAGGTTTCTGCTGAAGTGTTCTACTGAAGCATTTGTGGTCTTGAAGTGATCTCATTTTAGTCCAGCATACATCATATTAGAAAGCTGATGATGCAGTTTTGGGTTTTTTGGGTTTTTTTAACTAGCAAAACCTTAGGAGTTTAAAGTTGGAATATGGTATGGGTTTTTTAGTTATTTTTAAGGGGGTTTTTCTAACAAGAAAGTGACAGAGCATTCTTGTGAATTTCTAGGTAGATAGTTGTGATTAATCAGTAATGTCATATGTTTGTAATTAATTTCTTAAAAGATGTTGCTATATATGTTTGCACTTAATTTCGGTATCATTATTGTTTAACAATTGACATCTTTTCTCCTCATCCCTTTTTTTTTTCCAAGCTATGGGAAGTATATGGTGATCGAAGATGTCTACGAACATTTATTGGTAATAGTTGTTTTTTTTAAAAACTGATGTGTATTTAAAACAACTTCATGGAAGGATATGATTTAGGTTAGCACATTAATTTGTCATAGAGAGGACTTGTAGGCATCCAAGGCAAATGGTATTCAGTATGATCTTGGCAATAAGAATTTAAAACAGTGCAAGTTTTTAATTAACCTTTGTCATTATTCCAAGCAATTTATTGTTGATGTATAACACCTTATGACCCTTAAAACAAAACATTAGTGTTCTGCAGTCATCAATACTTTATGCAAGACTCCTTTCCAAAGGCAAAATTGTGAAATTAAATTGCCCCACCTTCATGTTGAGAACAGCAGCCCTCTGTATTTAGGTAGTGAGGGCATCTCATGGTCTGATGATTCACCCCTTAACTAGGTGGTCTCTTCTGTGCTGAGTTTCTAGTGCAAAAGCATGGGAAATTTTTTTTTAGGTTCAGATGCCCTTTTTGTTCATGTAACAGGTGCTTTTTAAAGCAGATAGCTGCGAGAGAGAGAAATACAAACTTCTTAGCAGCCTTGAATGCAGAACAAAAGCAGCTGATTCCCCTTTTGAAATGGGAACATTTCTAGAACACTGAGTGAATATATGTTCAGTAACAACAAAGAAGTCTTTTTTTCACCTAATATTTCTGATGACAGCAGTATGGCAAAGATGATGGCTCAAAAAAGGTTCTCTCTCAATAGACAGCTCTTGCTGAACAGTTTGAATGTTTTTCTTGAAAGGTCTTTATTATCAACCAGATTCACCTGTTCCTTAGCTATATTTAAGTTACTGTGCCAATATTTTAACTAAAGAGATCCCCTACAAGTCTGATGCAGTGGTCAGATGAAAGTATTGGGATTGAGGGGTAGCAAGGTTAACACCAGATGAAAGCATTCTTAATTTTCTCGTCTAGTATTTCCCATATTTTTTGCCTGTTTTCTAATTATAAATGTTTCTTCTTTAAATGTATCTCTTGTAGAGTTTGTCTCTCCTCTTTTTCATTAGATGTTGACATTTATTACAGTGTTGTAAACTTCTCTTGCAGCTCTTAACTGTAACCAGAACAATCTTTGAAGCCAACAGTACTTAAAGTTCTGCTTTTATATCAATTTATGAATGAGGCACAGTGGTTGGTTCTGTGCAGTACTATTGTTTCACTCTCCACTGCTTTAGAGGTCTGGGGGTTTGGGGGTTTTATTCTCATTCTTCTTTAGGAGTTACTTTTTCTTTCTCGCTTGAATCATTGTTTGCTAGTGCTCATTAAGAACCTCAGTAAGCGATTTCCTTGTTCTCTTTGCATTGGTAAAGACTGGAGCGTTTAACTTGAATAATGTTTTTAAAAAAAATTAATTCTAAGCATGAGTGGATAAAAGTTTATCATCACATTTTTTTTATCTTGTAGGACATAGTAAAGCTGTTCGAGACATCTGTTTTAATAATGCTGGCACTCAGTTTCTTAGTGCTGCATATGACCGCTATCTTAAACTCTGGGACACTGAAACAGGTAGGCTTGTATTTGTAGATGCTGTTATTTGGCACTATGTTTAATTAATAGTAAATATCAAGATATATTATCAGTCAGTCCAGTTGTTTCCAATTATCCTTAATATCATCTTGTAGTTCAGTGTTTGGGCTTTCCTTACAGGATGAATAGTCTTTTTCTTAAATGTTTTGTTGTTATCTGTAATGGTGTAATTGATACTACCTATATACCTGTGTTTCTTATACCTTTTTATTTGAGAAGTTTGGTAGTTATTTGTAACGCTAGAACAATTTTCAGCGAAAAGATAAAATTTCACCAAAGCAGTTAATTGCATGTTTACATTTACAGGCATAAAATTAAGTTATGAAATCACACTTTAGACCTAAATATGCTTAATTTAGAAGAGTTATTTCACTTGGTTGTTTTGGTTAAGCTGAACTTGAAGAGCACTCCAAATAAGAAAAGGTGGTGGAAATCGAGCTGCTGGTATAGGGAGTTGGAGGGTAGCTCTGATGCTCTCACAGAACTGCCTGGGAGATGCTCTGTAACATTCTGCTCCAAGTAGTTTCTTAAGCTAAAAAGATACAGAATAGATTTTCAGTATTCTTTTAAACTTAAGTCTGTTCCTAAGACAGGAAGGTTCCATGTTAGAAAAAGATGTTAGCTTTCTTAGTTAGCAGTGCCACTAGTCTTATACTCGTGACAGCCAGAAAAGTGTAAGTCAAATTCTGCAGTCTTGAGTCTGAACTCAGTCATTTAGACACCTGAAAAATGTATGGAGCTTTTGGATTAGAATGGGCTTCTGTAAGTTACAGATAACATGTAATAAGGGTATTTATGGCTGAGGCTATGAGAGGAGCTCAGTGACTTGTTTTGCAGTTGGATTGCTGTTATCCTTTTCTAGGTTTAGGATTGAGGCATTCTTGCCTGAGTTTAAGTCTCTTGTCAAGAAGACCCCTGATTCTAAGGAGGTGATGCTTTGCAAAGACAGTGGTCATCTTGTGATATCCTGACCAGTCCTGATGTCCTTGATATGTCCTGATGACATACAGGGTACTGAGCAGTTACACTGTTTGGAAAGCTGTAGTAAAGGTGTGGAATAGTTTGTATGTGTGTGTGTTTGTACAGGTGTGTGCATGCAAACATGTAAAAGAAGGTCAAATCAAGGAGCTGGGTAAATTCTACCCTCTAGTCCTCTTAAGGGCTTTAAGACAAGTATTTTCTGCTGTTAGTGAAGTAAAAGTAAAATCAGTGGGTTTTATCAAAATCTGCAAAGAGCTAATCAGCCCATAGAACTTCCAACCTGATGCACTACGAATGGCTTTTCTGTTGCAGGGCAATGTATTTCAAGATTCACAAACAGGAAGGTTCCTTATTGTGTCAAGTTCAATCCTGATGAAGATAAACAAAATCTCTTTGTTGCAGGAATGTCAGATAAGAAAATTGTGCAGGTATGTCTACTTAATATCTCTTCCTCTAAAAATTCTGATACTGAGTAAAAAACCAAGGTCTTATTCTGACTTTTTTATTTGTAGTGGGATATTCGAAGTGGTGAGATTGTGCAGGAATACGATAGGCATTTGGGAGCTGTCAACACCATTGTGTTTGTGGATGAAAATAGAAGGTTTGTGAGTACATCTGATGACAAGAGTTTAAGAGTCTGGGAATGGTAAGTTTAAAAATTTGAATCTTAACTTAAAGTATATTATGAGCAAACTGAGAAGAGAGTTTATTTTTAAAAGTATACAAAGCAGATAGGACACTGGAGCGTTCTGAGTTCTAGCTAGCTGAGGAAGAGCTAGCTTTAAAACCCTATTCTGGCTTAATGCTTGAGGCACTTCATGGATTTCCTCTTCCCCCAAAGAAAGCATAAGACAACCCTGTCGGCCTGAAGGATGCGGCACTCTGTTAGTGATCTGTGTTCTCTCTCCTTTCCCCGAGTGTGTATTAGCCCTTAAATTAACTGTTTTAAAGAGCTGTCTGCTCTGTTACATTGGTGCATGTCGATTTTGAATGCTTTGAACTTGGATGTGCATAGTATTACATAATATTTGGCCCATGTATGAAGTAACTAGTTTAGTGTAGCTTCATTTCTTGTTTTCTGGTAGTCTGGTTTTTTGGCAATCATTGATACCCACAGTATGAATACAATAGATGACAGAAAAGTGAAAGTCTATCCAAGAAAAACTTGTAAGAAACACCATTTTAAATGGCTTCCAATTTTTAATGTATCTGAGGAGAAAACAAATCTCTCCTATCTGAAATGTTTTCCACAAGGTTTTAGGTACTAAGATTTTCAGCTTAGGACTTTTAAGATTTCTCTAGGATTTCAAATTTCTTTTTGAAATATTCACACTCATATCTGTAGGTATCCATTTCCTTCCGTTTCCTTTTGCTGTTCACACATGCAAAGCTGTTGTACAATACAGACGCTAGTTCGACAGCTCTGTGACTAATTAGTTCCTTCCTATAGCTTTTTTTTTTTAAATCCTAGACAAGAGACTCCAATCTGTGGTATTTGAATGATACCCAAGCAGCCAGCAAAGCCCTCAGCATGTCTATGATCGGCTGCTATCATTGCCAGTAGCAGTGATGGTAATGACCAAAGTCTGGGAACCCGGGCTTAGGCTAGACACGTAATGCTGTCACCATATGTCACTCCAAGACAGCCTCTGTTCAGTACTTCATAGTTAGACCATGCATTTTACTGAGCTCCTTAAAGAAAAATCTTTACAATATCCTATCTGCTAAGGAATTTCTCCTCTCTGGAAGGTGGGAGGATGGTCTCACTTGCACAAATCTGTTATTTCCTTGCGATTGGATTGCCCTTGTTTTGTGAGCTTTGTGTTGACAGCTAAAATAAATAGCAAAGTGGGTGGATTTAGTCACGCTGTGGGGAAGAGCAGGAAAGGCAAAAAGGTTCTGGCATGGGAACATCGCAACCTGATTGTTCCAGTAGCAGAAGATTTTTCCTTCTGAAGAAAAAAGTATATCCTGAGCTTGCTGTATGCTGAAGAAAGAGCTCTCTTGTTCAGATAATAGGGAACTCAACTGTAGGCAATATTCTCGCTGGGGATTTTTTTGGCTTTATAAAAAGCAAACATAATGCTGTCTTCCTAGGCACGAATTGAAAACCTTTCTCCACAACCTGCCATGATATATGTTAATCCGTCTGTAGGCATATTTCTAGAAGTCTGAGATCCAGATTTTTACAATGTATTAAAACTAAGGTAATACATTCACTACAGAAGCTTTTGGAGCTTGAAAACTTCCATGGCAAATTATTTCATGCTGCACCTCAAATACTTTTTTCCAAAGTTCATCAGGAAAATTATTTGCAAATTACGGTGATTCGGTTACTGCACTTTTTGGCGTGTTTCTTCACATGTTCTTCAGCACAATATTTCTTCAGTATCCTCCAGAAACAAAGCAGAATTAATTATGAACTGAGTATGGCCTTAAAAGCCAGTAATTAAAGCAGGTTTAATTGCTTGGTTTCAATTGTCTAGAGGAATTTTGTAGTATGTTTTGTAAACACTTTGACTTGGCTAGAGCTGGTAATGGGATGCCATGTCAGACTTCATCACAGTGAGGAACTTCTCCCCTGAGAATTTAAATCTCCTTTCCCCAGGAGTTCAGCCCATGCATAGATTTCACTGTGCTGTGCACTGAATTGCAGTTGGTTGGTTGCTGAAAGTTCAGGCTGCAAGTATAGCACAGAGTCTTGCAGATTAAAGATTAAACGGTGTCTTTAGGAATCTTAATGAGAGTACTTTAAAATTTGTCTGCTTTCGCATTTCATGTGATTGTATCGTTACAGCAGGGATATTAAAGTTGGCACAGGTAGCATGTTCTGTATTCTTTCTTCTAGAAATGTAAAATACTATTTTGTCATTGTCTGCTTTGTATGCATCTGATCCTACTTGGATAAATGATTTGGGCAATTGACGTTGGAGGCTTTTATTTCCTTTTACCTTCAAGTCAGGTAGCAAAGCAAGAACTGTACAGTGGTAGCTTAGCTATTATCCTGACAGACTTAGGAGGCTTGTCACCTCTGTAAAGCTATACCCCTCAGCAGCCCTTTTCGCTCTGTCGTTCCTGAAAAAGATACTGTAGTCTCCTGAGAGAGCTCTTCATGATGTGTAGATCCCAACATTGGATTGGGTTGGG